ACAGTGGCAGGTGAGCAGAAAGGCCAGTGCTGGCCTTCCCTACCCCACACTGCGGTCTCCAACAATCAGGCGTCAACGTGTCCAAGGCAGCCCAGACAACTAGAACGAGGCCCCTGGGGCTGGGGAGGCTTTATCTCAGCCCCATGCCCTGGGGCACCAGCTGCTCAGAACCAGATTGGACCTGCCTGCGCATTGTGAAATCCGCACAGAGGACCGCTCTCCCTGGCAACAGTCCCCTTCCTGCCCCTTTTGTGTGTGTGTGTGTGTGTGTAAGCGTGTGTATGCGTGTGCGCGCATGTGTCTGAACGCTCACTGGGGGAGCGCATGTGCCCCAGGACACAGCTCAGATGATATCTGAGCCTCTGATATCCCCCCCCTTTAGGCTGTACCACAATTTAGGTTGACTCTGGACAAGCCACCTTCTCTTTCTGAGCCTCAATTTCCTTGTCAGTAAAAAATTTAGGGGCTTCCCAGGGATGCTTGTGTGTTGGGGGGGATGCTTGGCGGCTCCACTTTGAAATTGTGTGTGTGCTGGGGCCCCTGGCCAACTCAGCTGGTTAAGTGTCAGACTCTTGGTTTGGGCTCAGGCCATGATCTCGGGGTCATGGGATCAGGCCCTAGGTTAGGGCTCTGCACTCAGCACTCAGCGTGGAGTCTGCTTGAGATTCTCTCTCTCCCTCTGCCCCTCCTCCCACCTTGCACCTGCGCACGCGAGCTGTCTCGCAAATAAATAAATCTTAAAAAGAAAGAAAGAAATTGTGTGTGTACCCATCTTCCCGAGGATAGTTCTATAACTGTTATTAAGTTCTCAAAAGGAACTATGACCCCACAAAACGGCTGTTATTGTGCCAAATGACTGATATGGTCTTCTAGCCCCCAAATTCTGGCTATGATTCTCTCTCCCTGCTCCCTTTCCTGCCCCATTTCCCTGTAGGCACTTGAGAAGCCAGGACCAGTGGGCAGAAGGAGTTGAGTTTCCAGGCTGGCTGAACTGTGTGGAGACAGTGGGGGAGCCTATGCCCTTTCCTCTGTGGTCTGACCTCTCACTGGGGCTGATTATGTGTGGATGGCTGGGTCCATCCTGGTTTCCTTTTGAGAAAGTCTCCTAGGGTCCAGAACCAGGAAGCCTGGGCAGGGGAACAGAGCAAGCCTCAGGGAGGAGAGGCAAGGGTGGAAAGTGCGAGTGTGCATGGGGGGGTAGGAGACAGAGGGGCCTGGAAAGGCAGCCCCCCCAACCCTGGGGGCAAGGCGGTCCGATGGGATCATCTGAGTATCCGGTAGGGGCAGCAGGTGGCCCAGGTAAATCCTGGTTACCAACTCCCAGGACACCCGGGCTGGAATGTGGCCTGACCCTCAGATTCCATAAACCTCCATCCCCTAAATCTGCTGTCCCACTGACCATCGCGCATAGTTACCCCACCTCGGGCAAGGAAGCTGCTGAGAACCAGAGCCATGCTAGGCATTTCTCCTGGGCCCACCCTCGGTCCTGTGGCCCAGAGAGGGTGCGGTGAGTCCCTCAGGGAGCTCTCAGGACGGGTCCTCAGAAAAGGCCAGGGTTGGGCCACGGGCATGTTGCTGTTCCTAATCTCTCACACGCAGACCCCATATACTCTCTCCCTGTTGCTTCACATGCTCACACCCCCAAGTGCTCATGACCTAGCACAAAGAGACACATTCTACTCCCAGGGCCATGAGACGACTGGGAGCTGACTAGTTGAAGGAGCCCATCCAGGAGGTTGAAGAGCCTTTCCCAGCTGATTCCGAGGTCCCCCGTGCTTTTCCAGGCACCACCTGCTCCCCTGCCCCTCTCCTAAACTTGAGGAAAGTTGATGGTGCCCTGCTGTGCGCTGTGGTTCTCCAGGGAGGGCCCAGTCTCAGCTCTGAATTCTAACCAGAGGTGAAAAGGTAACAACACTGGCATTGGGGAGAACCCCAAGTCACCATGTCCCTTTCCCCTAAAGGGGGCAGGAAGGAGGAAGCTGGAGGCCAGGGGAGACTGGACGAAGAGAGATGGGAGAGGGGGCCTGGAATAGACAGCCCACATTTCAGCTGGACAAGGACAGGGCACAGGGAGCTTTCTGAAGGAGTCAGGTGCCCGGCTGGCAAGACCCAAGAAAACCATCATAACCCCGGTGGGCACGCCAAGTCCCCCAGAAACCGGATCTGAGGACTGAGGGCATCCCTCCACACCTAACAGCTACAGGTTCCCAGGCCAATAGGTGGACCAGGCCCACCCCGCCCAGCGCCCCCTCTCCGCAGCCCCCTCCTCAGGACGCCGCCCTCAGAGTCTCCGCCCAGCGGGTCTCCAGCCTCACCGTCCCCCTCACTGGCCTCCTCTCCAGCCCTGCCTTCTCCCTGGGGACCCGGCTCAAAAAACCCCCACCCCAACTTCTGCTTCAAAGGGCCCATTCTCGGCCGGCACTGAAGCCCAGCTCTGTCTCCTTCGGCCACCCCTCGCTGCCCCAAGGGACCCGACTCCCGCCGCGGGTGTCCCATCGGGTCCTCCGGCATCGGGGTCAGGGGTTGTGGGTCTGAGCGAATCCGGGTGGAATCGGGGTGGAGAGCAGGGGTGGGGTCGGAGTTCCCCAGACCAGCCCCACAGACCGACAGTCGGGAGACTCGATCCCACCGAGAAGCGCGGCACAGATACACTGCGGGGGGCGGAGGGGGGGGGGAGGTCGCTATTCAAAGACGGCGACGCAGACACTCACTGGCTCTCCTCCCCCGAGCACGCCCCCTCCTCTTCCCCTCCCCAACTCCTCATCGCACCCCCTCCCCTCGCGCTCCACCTTTCCTCTGGCTCCTCCCTCGACGCCTGCGAGCACCCTCCCGCGCAGCCCGCGTGCCCTTCCTCCCTGCCTCCTCTCCCTCCTCCACCCCTCCCCCCCCCCTCCTCCCTCCCCTCCCCCCCCCCCTCTCCCCCCCCCCTCGTTCCTAGGCTCCCACTTTCCATCACCTACTCGGGGCCTCCGTCCCTCCACACCGTCACCTGCACGCCTGTCCCCGCCGTGCCGCCTTCCTGCGACCCCACTCCAGCACCCCCCTGCCCCTACCTCCCCCACTGGGTCCCCGGCTGCTCCCCTCCTGCTTCCGCGTTCCCCTCCCCCCTGCCGGGCGCCGCTTCCCAGCTCCCGCTCCCTCCGCGTCTTTTCCTCTCCCCTCCCCGCGAAGTTTCGGGGCTGTCAGTCTGTCAGTCTTTCGGGCAGTCGGCACCCGAGCTACAGGCAGCGGGCGCCATTGCGAGCAGAACCGGCCGGGGCAGAAGGCCGGGGCGCCTGGGTCCCGCCAGCAGCGGGGAGACCCGACCCGCCAGCCCGCCAGGTACGGGCGGTGGAGGCGCCCAGAGGCAGGCGGCTCCGCCCGCTTTCCCTTCTACACCGACACTCAGTCACTGCCCGCTCCGCGCAGGTGACAGCCCGGGGGGTGGGGGCTCCGGGAGCGCTGGAGGGGGTGGGGTGGGGTTAGTGGGGGAAAGAAAGGGCAGGGGAGGGGCAGGGGCTGGAGGAGGGAGGGGCTGGGGCTGGGTGGAGAGGGTCTGGCTTGGGGGTGGTCACGGCAGTCGAGGAGAGGAGGATCGGGGATCTGGAGGGAGGGGCGGAGGCTGGGGAGAGGGGCCCGGGTGGGAGTCCGGTGGGAGAGGGTTGGGAGGCTCCCGAGGGGAGGGAGTGAGGAGTCTCCGGAAAGGGGAGAGGGAGTGTGGGAGGGTGCCGTAGGGGAAGGGGGGCAACGAGGCCAAGGGATCAGGCCTCTGGGGAGGGGCGGGAGAGGAGGGTGCTGACAGGTGAGCCCGGGAGCCGGGGAGGGGCCGGGCTGTGTAGTCAGGTCTGCGAGAAGAGGCTCTAGGGGACGGACGGGAGGCGGGGAGGTGGGAGGGGAGGGGTCTGATCGGGAGGAAAACTTGGGGGGCGGTAGAAGTCCGTGGGGAGCAGAAATGGGGAAGGTAGCCACTGAGAGAGAGGGGAGGGAAGCGGAGGTGTGTTGGGAGGCAGGGGTGGAGAGGAGCAGGTTCAGTGAGAAGGTCCAGATTCAGCCGTAAGCCACAGACTCCCAGGCTTGGGGGAGCCTGGGGACAAGGGAGAGAGCTCGGGAGCGGACTGGAAGGGGGAGGGGAAGAGCGGTTCTAGGGACTGGGGACCGGGAGGGTAGGGTAGCGAGAGCCTGCTGGGGAGGCAAAGGGGGAAGGGAGACGGGGGCCTCGGAGGGGAAGGCAAGCTGCAGGAGGGAGGCAGGGAGAGAGGGAGGAGGATGGTGTGGGGAGAGCGGGGAGGAGGGCTGGGGAGAGGGGGAGGAGGGAGGGAACTGAGGTGAAGAGAGGAAAGGAGAAGGAAGGGAAACCAGAGTGGGGGAGGAGAGGGAGAGGGGAGGGGAATGCGGGGTGAGGGAGAAAAGCGGGGAGGAGGAGGGCGGCGTTAGGGAGGAAGGAAAAGAGGAGGGGGAAAGGAAGGGAGAGGGTGTGCAGCTGGGGAGGAGGATGGAGCCTGGGGGAGAACCGGGAGGGAAGGGGAAGGCGGCCCTGAGCCGGGGGAGGAGGAGGGGAACCCTGTCGCCAAGTGTGCCCAGAGGAGAGGGTCAGGGGGGCGGTGTCCGGGGAGGGCCTACCCGAGGGGGCCGGGAGGGGCTGGCCGGGCTGTGAGCAGGGGGAGGAGCCGGAGGGGCGGGGCAGGGGGCGGAGCTGGGGAGCGGGCCAGATTCGGTAGGGAGAGAGGGCGGAAGACAGAGGGAGCCGGAGAAGGGAGAGGCAAAGGGAAGGCTGCCAGAGAGATGGGGGGGGAGGGGAGTCTGGTGGGGGGAGGGGCAGGGAACCCGCTGGAGGAGGAGCTGGGAAGGGGGCTCGAGGGCGGGGTGTCCCTGCCTGGGGAAGCCCTGAGGGGGAGGGGCGATGGTTTTGAGGTAGGGTTTTGGGGAAAGGAAGCTAGAGCCATTTCCTGCTTCAGCAAAGACCCTCCTTGGAGGGCCTCCCCCACCAGTTGCCCAGTAGTGACACTCACCTCCGCCCCTCGGCTGGCTCCTATTTCGCCAGCTCCTGCAGTGACAGCTGGAGGGCCTAGGAGATGAAGTTCCTGGCTCCCACCCGGGTCTTCCACTCTCCACCCCCCCCCCAATGGAGAATCGATTGATTCCTAACGTCCCCAGGCAAGGGCACTGGGGGGTGGGGAGCACTGGTGGGCTGGGCCCGGTTCAGAGACCCGCCAGGTGAGGGAAGGATTGCAGCTGATTTCTGGAACTGACCAGAGCCTGCAGAAGTGGCTTCAATGCCTTGGCCTTGCCCTGCAAAGATCTCTTTGCTTTCTGAAACCCATCTTCCCTCATGCCCCTTACCTGTCCCTGGGGACATCATCTTTGGAGCTCCTGGGGATCACTGATGGGGAGAAGTTGGGCAGAGCCAAGGCCCAGGTGGCAGCTGTCCGGAGAAGAATGTGAACAAGGATGTGTTTTCTCCTCAGGGTGTGTGGCCTGATTCCCAGGAGGATCTACCCTGGGTTGCCATGAGAGAGACTTTTGAGGCCCTCAGCTCCCTGGGTGAGCCGGCAACACTCAAGGAACGTGGGTGGGTGGGAGGCAGGATCCAGGGGCACCCTAGGCCTGCTGCTTCCCTACCATTCGGACAGCCCGGCTGTTCTCAAGAGATGGTAACCCTGAGACCCCAGAGACCCCTGGGAGCCTGTAGGGCAGCCTCAGTTCCATTGGGTCTATTTTCAAGTCGGGCCCGGCCGAGGCTGTGCGGGACCGTTGCGCACGGCGCGCATGCCCATTGTAGGTGCACCTGCAGACTCCCGGACTCCTGTCTGGAGTACCCGGATATTTCCATCTATTTTCTCGTCCTTCACCTGCTCTTGACTCAGTGCAAAGGGGCACTGAGGACACAAAGGACACCTGGCCAGGCTGCTGGGAAGCCTGGCTCTCCCCTCTCATGCTGGCTAGAGACCCTTCCTTCCTGAGCAAGTTGGAAAAAGCCCCTTAGCTGTTTCGGGGAAGAGGAAGAGCCCCTCCCTTTGATCACTGTTCTATACTCTGACGCTTTACTTGGCCCCATCCTTCTGCCTATAACAGGATTCTCTGTGGGACAGCCGGAGATGGCCCCCCAAAGTGAGCCTGGGGAAGGGTCCCATAATAACCAGGAGCAGATGTCCCCTTCCAGGGAAGACAGCATGCTGGGCACATGCTCTGGTAAGTAGGTGGGGACCAGGAGCAGTGGCTCGGGGAGGCATCTACCTTTCCTTCTTCAGGTATTTGTTGAGCACCTACTAAGTGCCACGGTACTCTTCTCCATATTTGGAATACCTCAGTGGCCAAAAACAAAGATCCGTGCCTTCCAGGAGCTTAATCTTAGGGAGGACAGAAAGTCAGCAAACAAATATAAAAATGTACTTATAGACTGTCTCAGGGGATATGTGCTATGGGGAAGGGCCTGAGGTGGGGGTGGGGCGGGCTGCAGGATTAAATAGTAGGAGGGTGAGAGTGGGCCCCATTGGGAAGGTAAGATTTGAGCAAGATTCGGAAGAGGTGAAGAAGGTGGCCGAGTAGCTCCCAGAGGGAGAAGACAAGAAAGCAGGCCCGTCTGGCTTCTTGACATTCTGGTCTTGCCCAGTGATTTGCCTGGAACTTGGGTCCATCTGCCATCTGGGAGGTCTGCAGCCCCCCTTGTAGAAGTCTCCTGCAAGCCTCAGAGCAGGGACCTTTCCTTGCTTCCACCACCTCCTACACATATTCCAGAAGCTCCTCGCAGCTGCGGCTCTCGCAGCCTTCACAGCCTTTGCTTACAGCTGCCCCCGTTTGAAGGAGCCTGAGGCTGCCCCCGGGGCAGCAGGGAATTCAGTCCCTGCAGCTATGATGTGGGACACAATCCTGCCAGGGGGACTGGGACTGGGGTTTCAAAAGCCCCTGCTTGATGGCCCCAGTGGGGACCTCTGTCCTTCTGTGATGTCTTTGGAGTCCTTGAGGTAGCCTGTTCTCTTCCAGGACACGAGGCCCCCAGACCAGAGGAAGGCGCCCACACTGAAGAAACTCAAGGCCCTGGCAGAGGAGGCCAGGCATGCACGCCACAGAAGGCCGAGCCCATGGGCTCCTGCCCAGGTGAGTCTTTCCATCCCTCCAGACCACCGGGGGCCCAGGCAGAGGGGATAGGGGCCTTGTCAACTCCCGGCTGCTATCTGAATGAGGCAGCCACTCCAGGCCCTTCCAACCTAGGATGAATCCGTCCCTGGCACCTTTCTGCCGTAGAGCTTTGGCCCCCAGAGGGAACTCCACAGCACAGATGACAGGACTCAGAGAGGCTGGTCACCCAGAGAAACTGACCCTCACCTCAACATCCTCTAGAAGTCTTAATTTCTCCTGCCTCCCTCTGTCTGCATGTGTATTTGTTGATGACTTGAATTGCCATTCCCATGAAGACCTATCTTTTCATTGCCTTCCCCCTAGACAAGCTCCCTTCCCCCCAAATCTCCACTGGTCTCGGTGGTCCCCCAATGCCCCAATTCTATGGTGCTGGACTCGTGTCCCCCACACCCAGGGGGACGGAACGGTTGATTTCTCTCTTCACTGTGCTGCCCTTACTCCCTCCAGCTCCCACACACGTGGCACCTTCTACCTGACTGATGTCCTTTATTCCAGGGGTTTATTTAGAACCTGCTCAGTCCAGGCTGTGTTAGGTAGAAGGGAACGAGATTGCCCCTGGCGGACACAGACCCTGTTTGACTCCTGCCTCCCCATGTCCCAGCCGAGTGACCTTAGATAGGCTCCCTCACCTGCAGGAGCTTGTTTGCCCACCTGTAAGCAGGGAGAAGATGCACTTCATGGTTGCTGTGAAGCTTTATGCCAGCGGATAGACCGTGTGTCATAGGCGGTTGGCACTCAATAAGTGGTGGCAGTCCTCATTTTCATGAGACACATACAGAAATGGAACACAAGACGTCTGCCTTTCAGAAGCTAAAATCTAGCTGAGATGACAATATGAACCAGAATAAGGAATTAAAAGAACAAATGGTAATCGGGCCACATTGCAAGGAAGTATAACCATGTTCCGTGAGTGCTGTAGGTAGATGAGAGATGCTCACGCATTGGATTTTTCAAAGATTTTGGCGACCCGTGCTGCATTTTGAGGAGGTGTAGACATGAGCCCTGATGGTGGGGCAGAGGATGGGAAAACATTCTAGGCTGAGAAGAGACTTTAATACAGAAAATTTGCCGTGTGGCCGGGATTTGAGCAGACCAGCTTGGCTACAGAGGAGCGTTTATGCCTAGGACAGGAACTCAGATCCTCTGGTTCAGTGGTTCTTAAACAAGAATGACTTTGGGAGCTTTAGAGAAAGAGAAGAGATCAGGCATCCTGCTCCCAGAGATGCATTTGGGTAAAAGTCGCCAGGAGATTAGGAACCATGAACTAACACAACCCTTACACCTAAGCCAACGAACGCAGTGAGCGCAGTGAGCTCGGAGTGCTCACAGGGGTAAGTTAACAGGTCACACTACTGGCTAGTGGCAGGGGAGAACCCAGGTGGACACTCCCAGTCTGGGCCCTGAGCTCCTTTGTCTAGGCTGGACCATTGCAGGGCCCAGGAGGGACAAAGCTCCAGTGGGACCGACCTCCAACCTGCTTCCCCAGAGGGTGCTCCCTGCTTCTCCCGACATGGGCACTGTTTACTGGTTCCCCCATTCCTGCAAACTCCATCCTCCTCTTCCTACACTGGGATTTCCTGCCTGGCTCCAGAGGCCAGAATGAAGGGAGGGAGTTAGGGTTAGGGCGAACCTTGGAGAGGCAACTAGAAAGGAGTTCCAGCTGCTCAGCTGATGGGAGAATGCGGTTCCAGAAAGGGCTGGAAGATCTGGGGCAGCCACTGTGAGCAGATGAACGTGGAGGGAAGCCTGAGGCCTGAACTTGGAGCAACCTTTATATTCAGGGGCCACAAAAGTACACGCGCCTTCTGCAGAGGCAGGGAAAACGCTCCCCGGACCTGCAGAAGCCTAGGAGAGATCCCCCAGGAGGAGCTGAGGGCTCTCACCAGCTTCCTGGGCTGCGAGGAGCTGAGGAGGAGGATGGACCAGGGACACTCTCTGGAAACATCCAGTAGAACTGAGAGAGCAAGAGCCAGACGGTGGCGTGGCTCCAGAAGCGGGGCTCCTATGGGCCGGAATAAAAATGGGGCTTAATTGGCTCGTCTGGTTTTGACTTTCCAGGGGATGAGTGGATGATACGGAAGGTGAAGGTGGAGGAGGAGGATCAGGAGGCGGAAGAGGAGGTCGAGTGGCCGCAGCATCTAGCGTTACTCCCCGGCCCTTTTCCCGCGCCGGACCTGGGGCCTCTGGCCGCTGCGTACAAGCTGGAGCCTGGGCCCCCAGGGGCCCTGGAAGGACTCGCGCTGGCCGGGTGGGCCCCGACCTCGGAGAAGCCCTACGGCTGCGGGGAGTGCGAGCGGCGGTTCCGGGACCAGCTGACTCTGCGGCTGCACCAGAGGCTGCACCGCGGCGAGGGCCCGTGCGCCTGCCCGGACTGCGGCCGCAGCTTCGCGCAGCGCGCGCACATGCTGCTGCACCTGCGCAGCCACCTGGGCGAGCGGCCCTTCCCCTGCTCCGAGTGCGACAAGCGCTTCAGCAAGAAGGCGCACCTGACCCGCCACCTGCGCACGCACACGGGCGAGCGGCCCTACCCGTGCGCCGAGTGCGGCAAGCGCTTCAGCCAGAAGATCCACCTGGGCTCGCATCAGAAGACGCACACGGGCGAGCGGCCCTTCCCCTGCACCGAGTGCGAGAAGCGCTTTCGCAAAAAGACACACCTGATCCGCCACCAGCGCATCCATACGGGCGAGAGGCCCTACCAGTGCGCCCGGTGCTCCCGCAGCTTCACGCACAAGCAGCACTTGGTGCGGCACCAAAGGGTGCACGAGGCGGCCGGCCGCGCCCCCTCCTCTCCCGACGCGCCCGCCTCGCCGGGTTCCCCGGCCCCGTCCCCGACCCCGTCCCCTCCTGGGCCCAAGCCTTTCTCCTGCTCCGACTGCGGCCTGAGCTTCGGCTGGAAGAAGAACCTCGCCACGCACCAGCGCCTGCACCGCGGCGAGGGGCGCCCCTTTGGGTGCGACCAGTGCGCGCTGGGCGCTACCGTGGACGCCGCCGCCGCCGAGCCCTTGGCCTGCGCGCCCGGTGACACGCCGGCGACCCAGGGCGCTCCCGCCAGCGAGCGGTCCTCTTGCGCGGACTGCGGGCGCGGCTTGGCCCACGGGCAGCAGCCGGCGCGGCAGCGGCGGGTGCACCCGGGCGAGCGGCCCTTCGCCTGTGCGCAGTGCGGCCGCCGCTTCGGCTCGAGGCCCAATCTGGTCGCGCACTCCAGAGCCCACAGCGGCGCCAGGCCTTTCGCCTGCGCGCAGTGCGGCCGCCGCTTCAGCCGCAAGTCGCACCTGGGCCGCCACCAGGCGGTGCACACGGGCAGCCGGCCACACGCCTGCGCCGTCTGCGCCCGCAGCTTCAGCTCCAAAACCAACCTGGTGCGCCACCAGGCCATCCACACCGGCTCCCGCCCCTTCTCCTGCCCGCAGTGCGGCAAGAGCTTCAGCCGCAAAACCCACCTGGTGCGGCACCAGCGCATCCACGGCGAGGCCGCCCACGCGGCCGCCGACGCCGACCTCTCGGCCCCTGCCTGGCCCACTCCCTCAGAGGCAGCGGCGCCCCCCCTCTTCTTCTGAGCCGTGTTCTCTCCAGGAGCCTTCTTTGGCTCGCTGGTTGGAGAGACCCCATGCCCGACATCTTCTGGGCGGTAAGCACGACGGCCTGGGCCCCGATGGCTGTTCTCTGCCCTCTTTATCTTGCCGGAGAGGAAGAAGTCTGGGCAGGATGACCAGCTTTGGCATTCTGTGACAAAGACAATGCTAAGAGTGAGCCCTTGCTGGGAACGTGAGTCCTGGAAAGAATCCCACCAAGAGACCCCATCAGAAAGCAGACGTTTGTTTTCTTGGACCCCAGCCTGCCAAGGACAGGCTGGGTCAGGAGCCTTTCCAGGGGGAGTGAAAAGAATGAGTATGTGTGTACTTAAAGTGTCATTAAAATCAAAATCTGAAGGTTTGGGGGCTGTTAAATGAGCACCGCGGGAGACGGGCAATTCCTGACTCTTCTCATCCACTGCCCCACTCAGTCCTCCCCCAGAGGACCAGCCCTTCCTCCCCCCCCCCCCCCGTGAGCTAAATTTAGCCAGGCACTGGTAATGGGCTCTAGGAAATGAAAATAAAATAGAGCTCACCGCGCCACTATCCTGCTCCCTGCTTTTAGCTCAGATGCTTGATGGAAGAAACATGAACATGCGTGTCTCATGGCAGGTGCCGAGGCTACCAAGGTAGGGAACGCAGAGAGGGGCAGGGCACCCTGTGGCCATTGCCATGGAGATGGTGTGGGCTCTGGAACTGTCCCCAGGGGATCTCAGAACAGCAGCCCCACCTGCCACCCTGCCTGGCAGCGTGAAGGACGTGAACAGCAGATGAATGTTGCTTTCCCAACACCATCTCCCCTAATTTCTGTCTTTAAGGTGGATGCTTGATCCAGATGTCTCTGTAGCCACGTGTGCCCAGCCGGCTGGCTAGCTGGCTGGCTGGCAGTGAGATGGAGGGGAGGATGATGGAGAACATGCTGGACTGGGAGAAGGCTCTAACCAGGTCTGACCACTCCTGGGCCTCTCACGGGACATGGAGCAGAGAATCCATTTTCTTGCAACTCTGCTTTCTAATTACCATAGATTGTTGATTGATAAGGGCTGAGGCCATTTCCAACTCTAGCATTACCATCACCAAAAATAACCCTCGCCAACAGATATTGGGGTGCCTCCTGCCCACCAGGCACGACACTGGGGCACTGGGAAAGAATAGTAAGCGAGACAGACATACTTGCAGGAATTATCAGAAATCCTCGGGCAAGCCCAGAAGGCTTTGGGGGGAAGGGATGTGATGAGGGCATCCCAAATCTAGGGAAAGTCGAGGAAGGCTTGCAGCATGAAGACATCTCTTTTTTTTTCCTAAAGATTTTATTTATTTATTTGATAGAAAGAGACACAGCGAGAGAGGGAACACAAGCAGGGGGAGTGGGAAAGGGAGAAGCAAGCTTCCTGCTGAGCAGGGAGCCCGAAGCGGGGCTCAATCCCAGAACCCTGGGATCATGACCTGAGTCGAAGGCAGACGCTTAACGACTGAGCCACCCAGGCACCCCCAGCATGAAGACATCTCTACTGTGAGGCCTGGAGAATGAACACAAGGGGCCAGGTGAAGGGGGGGGTGGGGAAGATGGTACGCGCAGGGGTCAAAGTCCAGCACAGAGAGGCTCAGAGAGGGAGTCTTGAATGAGAGGGCCAGGAGCCTGAAGACTAGGAGGGGCCGACTAGAAAAGCCCTCAGCACAGATCAGGGAGCTCAGACTTTATCCAGGGGCAGCAGGAAGCCGTGGAAGGGTTTAGGCAGGGGAGCACTAGGATGATGTAGACACGGATGCATTTTAAGAAAGACGACTGGCGGGACACCTGGGTGGCTCAGTTGGTTAAGCAGCTCCCTTCGGCTCAGGTCATGATCCCAGCGTCCTGGGATCGAGTCCCACATCGGGCTCCTTGCTCATCAGGGAGCCTGCTTCTCCCTCTGCCTCTGCCTGCCATTCTGTCTGCCTGTGCTTGCTCTCTCTCACTCTCTCTCTCTCTGACAAATAAATAAATAAAATCTTTAAAAAAAAAAAAAAAAAAAAAAAAGAAAGACGACTGGCTAAGAGATACCAGACTCGGGATGAGTGGCCCAATGTGGAGACGGAGATGGAGGGTGGCAATGTCAGCCTGATTTCTGCTTGACGACTGACTACCCGGCAGCAGCATTCTGCTGACATGGGGAACAGAGGAGGGGGAGCCGTCTTGCCCTGGGGGCACAGATTTGCATCTGCCGAGGGGTTGGATCCAGCAGGAAGCAGGCCATGTGGGTGCAGAGCTCTGGAGGGGGTCTGCGCTGGAGAGAGGTCCAAGGCCCACCAACATGTTTGTCAAGCTGTGGGGCAGTGGATAATTGGCGAGAACCAAGTATAGAGTGAGCCAAGAGGGCTCTGGACAGAACCCTCGGGACGGTCCCGTTCAGGGGACAGCGTGCGGAGAAGCCCAGAAAGATTGGGGGCTTGTGGTGCCAGAGAGTGGAAAGGGAAGCCCCGAGGTGCCCGTCAGGGCTGAGGAAAGGCAGTGTTTCCTGACAGAGGAGGAAGTCCGCAGCTGAAGGGTGTCCAGAGACCACACAATAAGAACTTTCCACTCCTCTGGATTCTGCAGCAAGGAGATCCTTGGCAGCCTTGCCGTGACCTGCTTCCGGGGCCATGGGGACAGAATTCAGGTCGCAACGATGAATCTCAAAGGCACAGTCCCCCAGAAGGGAGAAGAAAATGAGACCAAGGTGCCGGTGGACGACTGAGGTGGCTTAGGTCTCTTTGACCTTGACGCAGAGGAAGGAGGACATGTGGGTCTGAATGCAGGGAGTTTAATTTCTGTGGCCAAGAATGAGTGGGGGATTCCAGGGGACTGTGGCCGTGAGGCCGTAAGTAGGTGCCACTGAGTTTGGCCCCAGCAGCATTTGAATACTTGGAAATTTCACTTGAAACTCTAGATTTCCAGCTTCTCCTGGGAGAAGCTGGAAAAAGCTAGCGGCTGGCGCTGAGCGGAAGTCGGCCTCTTCAGACGTGGGAGAGGAGGCACAGTGTGCTGGGCCCCGGCCCGTCCATCGGCCGCGCTCTCTTGAGTTGTCTCCCAGGCCTCCCAGGCCTCCCATTCCTCCCAGGCCTCCCAGGCACTGAACCTGTGATTCCCGAGAAACAAAAGTCATCTCACAGACTTTGAAAATCAAACACATGCAAGCGACATTTATGTTGGTCATACCGATGTTTATATTTCTCTAAACATTCTGAAATTCTTGTGTAAGAACTACTTTTAGGGGCGCCTGGGCGGCTCAGTCGGTTCACGTATCTGACTCTTGATACCAGCTCAGGTCATGATCTCAGGGTTCTGAGATCACCCCCCCCCCCCCCGTTAGGCTTCATGCTGGGCATGGAGGCTGCTTAAGATTCCTTTGCTCCCGGGGCGCCTGGGTGGCTCAGTCGGCTGAGCATCTGACTCTTGGTTTTGGCTCAGGTCATGATCTCCGGGTTGTGAGACGATCCTCTGTACTCAGCAGGGAATCTGCTTGGGATTCTCCCTCTCCCTCTCCTTCTGCCCCTCCCCCTGCTCATGCAAGTGTGCACGCTCTCTCTCTTTCTCAAGTAAATAAATAAATCCTTTAAAAAAACACAAGATTCGAGGCGCCTGGGTGGCTCAGTGGGTTAAGCCTCTGCCTTCAGCTCAGGTCATGATCTCAGGGTCCTGGGATCAAGCCCCGCATTGGGCTCTCTGCTCGGCAGGGAGCCTGCCTCCCCCTGCTCTCTCTCTGCCTGCTTCTCTGCCTACTTGTCATTTCTGTCTATCAAATAAATAAATAAAATTTTAAAAAAAAGAAAAAACACAAGATTCTTTCACTCCCGCTCCCTCTGCTCCTCCCTCTCCCCCTCTGCTCATGCTCTCTGTCTCTCTCTCTGCTAAAAAAAAAAGAAAAAAAGAAAATCTTTAGACCCTGCAGCATATCTGGGGAGACCTTCCACATCCCAGACATTTACAGGACTTCCCATTCTCTTGAATCTTCTTGGCAAGGTGTATCTTTGAATCCTTCGAGTTTGTTGGCAAGAAGTCGAGGCATTTAGTGTCGAGTCTGGTGGTCATCTAAACAGGAGACGAGGCTGAAAACGTAAATGAGTCTGCAGGGAGAGACCGAGTTCCTGAGGGCTGCTCCCAGGGAGGAGTGCAGAGTGGAACAGTGACAGTCTCAGTGACAATATACGCCCCCCACGCCATCCCCGGAGGGAGCCAGCCCAGGTATGACCATCCTGGGAAAGCAGCAAATTTTTACCTTAGAAGCACATCCCAGCACGAGACAGTGCTCTGCGAAGTAAAGCACAAGTGCACTATTTCTCTGTAGAAGATGAAATGTTTTATTAACTCATTAAAATTTATTTATTTTTCCCTGATCGTGTTCCAAACCAAGATTGGCAGTAGCCACTGGGTAGAGAACCCAGTCTTTGCGCCCCACCCCTGGCCTGTACCAGCCACGGAACAACATGGAGGTGTTTAACCACACCACATGGCCCTCAGGAGTTTACGCTGGACATGAGTTCAATGTCAAGGAAATGCCACATAAGTGCTGAATGGCTCTGTGGCTCTAAGAAGAGGCCTGAACACAAAGCTGAGCAGAGACGGGGTCTGGCTCCCAGGCAAGGAGGGAGGGAGAGGATGGCTCCAGCCCTGCCTTCTCCCCACACGTCTCCCACCCATGATCCTCGAAGCCCCCAACCCCCGTGGGGTCTTCTGATCCTGCTCTCTCGCACCCAGCGACCCTCCCCCTTCTCTCCTAACCGCCATGGAAACTGCGATTCCCAAACTTTTCTTTTAATGTGGCAAAATCTACAGTACGTGAAATCGACCATTGAAACCATTTTAAAGTACTCACTTTGGTGGCATTAATTCACAACGTTATGTAAACATCACTGCTATGTTTCCAGAACCTTTTCATCCCAAACAGAAACTCTGTCGCATTGTGTTTTATGTGATGGCACAGGTCAATAAGGTTACTCTTGGGGTCGGGGAGAGGCCAGTACAGGCCTGCGGTGTTAGCAGGGGTTGGGGGGGCTACCCTAGAGCCTGCCCACTGTCCTGGTAGCTAGGGGAATGAGCTCCACGTCCCTGTAGTTACCAACACGTTAGAAAACTCTCTTCCATCCGAAGACCCGAGTTCTTGCATGTGAAGGAGATGGGGTCCAAATTCACTTCCCACCGAATTAATGGATATCCAGCAAGTTTCCATGAATTGTGATAGTTCACAGAGAC